TCTTAAGCAGAAGTTTGTGTTCATTAGTGACTCCAAATACAGGATGGCACTGAATGGATGGATATTCAATGTGTAGAATACAAAATGTATGATACACCTACAACATCTTTAAGAAAAGCAAGATGTACAATTTGGCCTATATACTTTTTACTTTCAGTAAAAACATTAGGGAACATACAGTGAGGACAAATAACTGCTTGTCTAAGGGGCAAGTAAAAACAGAAGAAAGAAGAGACTTATCACAGAAGTACTAGATATGTGATTACCAAGAGCCGAGATGGCAGAAAATATCATAAAGCAAAAGTGGTTAAATACTAAGGCTGACCAACCTTTATTAAAATCCACCACCTAAATCTTGAAAATAAGATTTTAAAAGATTTAAATTTCAATAAATAGTGGGTCCTTGCTATGAAATTCAACAAATTTAGAATAATGTAAGCACATCAGGGTGTTTTGTCAACTGACTTAATCCAGAAAAATGTGATGGAAAAACACACTTGCCTGGGCTTTGGTATCTTTTTTTGACATAAAGATTACAGTGGCCCTGTTCCAATGAGCCTAGTTTGAATAAAAAATGTGGCAAGCACAAAACAGATGGGTACAGACACTGACATGGCTGGAGATCTCCTAATACTGGAATATTAACCATAAACAAAAACAGATAAGCAGATTATGTTACTGAAAAGAGACTTCAATGCTTGTGAAACTTGTGTTCATTTACTAATGGATATGAAAAATAGTGGAAGGCAACCAGTCGAAGGCACTCCTCCAGAAGCTTCTGTCACAAGTAGGCGTGTATTTTGAAAACAGTCAGTCACCCATGAACACAAACTTCTGCTTAAGATACATCAAGTAAATATGTATTCTTGAAAACAGCCAGTCACCCATGAACACAAACTTCTGCTTAAGATACATCAAGTAAATATGTATTCTTGAAAACAGCCTTTTTCAGCTAGGTATAATTACTGCTACATTGCATTTCTATCATAAGTATTATTATAAATTTTCCTTTTTTATTTATCATGTATTTGTACTGTACAAATATTATAACTAAAATGAATGATGGACAGATTTTTCACAATATTATTCTGGTTTCTTTTACAGACTGTTATAAACATTGGTTGAAAAAAATATATCTACAGAAGTGCACTAGCAAACACTTTGAGCAAGAAGATGCTTAAACAGGAACATCACTAATATTAGTAAGACCTTTCACGAAATACAGAAACATAGTTTTGTAATGATGACAAAAAAAGAAAGCTCAAATTACTGATGTAGGTGATAAATCAACAAACACAAACGTGCACACACACATGTATAAAATTATTATTTACTTACCTTCTCTTCAGAGTGCTTATGGAAGCTGTGGTTTTTAAGACAAAAGTGTTCCAGTTCTTCACGCTGTTGTTCCATTCTCATTACAGTCTTTCTCAATTTATCAAGCTCTTGAAGAATCTCAACCTTCTCTCTCTGTAGACTCTGGATCTTGTGATGTGTTTCCTGCTCTGACTGCTGCCTTTGCTCTAGAACCTTATGTACAGGACAACATTTATATATATTACCAATGAAGTTACACATTACTGTTATATAACTTGTCACACATACATAATATCTCTTCATAGAATATTCTTGATGTAAGTTAGGTTTCTGTTAGATACAATTATAACAGCTACATCTTGTTTGTTATAAAACACTGGTACTGAGCAGAAGGCTTCAAAGTAGAGATGAAATACTATTAGATTCTCTTCTTGTTTCATCAGTTATGGCACTGTTCAACTTAGCTGTTCAGTAGTAAAGGTGATTCCTCTATGGTACATTACCTACTCTCACCTAGCTGAAAAACAACTTAGCTGTTCAGTAGTAAAGGTGATTCCTCTATGGTACATTACCTACTCTCACCTAGCTGAAAAACAACTTAGCTGTTCAGTAGTAAAGGTGATTCCTCTATGGTACATTACCTACTCTCACCTAGCTG